CAGAGTGGCAGGGTTTTATACCGAAACTAAAAACAGAGGGAAAAAATGCTGGAAGAGAGGAAGGAGCTGCCCATGCAAGAGACACCCAGAGACTGAAGCGAGTGCTGGAATAGGAAATAGCTTGTGTTCAAAATAAAAACAAACCCAAGGGGACCAGTGGTTTTCTTGTTTCTGTTTTATTTACAATCAATAGACTCAAATAGAGATTTATGGGATATATTTTAAAGGGTAAAAATATATAGAAAAAGAGACTAAATACTTTGAACTGAAACAACTGGGTTTGTTTAGTATAGAAAAGAGAAAACTGAGAGGGGATATGATAGCAGTTTTTCAAGTATCTAAAAATGTGTTGTAAGGAGGAGGGATAAAAATTGTTCTTTTTCTCTTCTGATGATTGTTCAAGAAGGAATGGGGTTAAATTGCAGCAAGGGAGGTTTAGGTTGGACATTAGGAAATACTTCCTAACTGTCAGAGTGGTTAAACACTGAAATAAATTGACTAGGGAGGTTGTGGAATCTCCATCATTGGAGATATTTAAAACCAGGTTGGATGGATATCTGTCAGGGATGAGCTATATGGTGCTTGGTTCTGCTGTGAGGGCAGGGGACTGAACTCGATAACCTCTTGAGGTCCTTTCTAGTTCTAGTGTTCTATGATTCTGAGTCAAGAGAAATCTGATGAGGTTCAGCAAAGACGAGTGCGGAATCCTGCACTTCGGATGGAAGAATTCCAAGCACCGTTACAAGCAGGAGATTGACTGGCTAAGCAGCAGTTCAGCAGAAAAAGACGTGGTGATTACCGTGTATGAGACGCTGGGTCAACAGTTTGCCCTTGTAGCCAAGAAGGCTAACAGCATATTAGGGTGCATTAATAGGAGAATTGCCAGGAGATCTAGAGAAGTGATGATTCCCCTTTATTAGACGCTGCTGAGGCCACGTCTGGAGTATTGCGTCCAGTTCTGCCCCCCCCACTATGGAAAGGATGTGGATGCACTGGAGAGAGTCCAGCAGAGAGTGACCAAAATGATGAGGGGGCTGGAGCATATGACCCACGAGGAGAGGCTGACGGATTTGGGCTTATTTAGTCTACAGAAGAGAGGAGTGAGGAGGGATTTGAGAGCAGCCTTCAACTACCTGAAGGGAGGTTCCTAAGAGGATGGAGAGAGGCTGATCTCAATGGTGACAGATGGCAGAATGAGGAGCAGTGGTCTCAAGTTGCCATGGCAACAGGAGCTGGGGGCCCTTGAAATGATCGCTGAAGCAGTGCATGGTGCTCTCCAGACGGCTCTGGGGCTGTTGTGGGAGGGGCATGGCGCTACCCAGTCATGCCCCTTCCATCCAAGCCCCGCCCCTTCTGGGAGCATGGAGCCAGGGCCACCCCTACCAGAGAACCCTCTTGCTCAACACAGGGCAGCTGCCTTTCCTGCCACCATGGGCATGGGACACATACACCTACCCAGGGAGCACAATGCCCATCTCACCCCATCCAGGAGAAGCTGGCTGCCCCAATTCCCTGCCCCACATAGGGACACCTCTGCCCCCAGCCCCCTCACCATCACAGTGCAGTCCTCAGAGCCGCTGGCAATGACATGGTTATTGTGTGGGCACCAGTCGATGTCCAGGACAGGCCCCGTGTGCCCGTGTAACCCACACACCGAGGGTGCGTCTAGACTGGCAAGTTTTTCCGCAAAAGCACCTGCTTTTGAGCAAAAACTTGCCAGCTGTCTACACTGGCTGCTTGAATTTGCGCAAGAACACTGACGATCTAATGTAAGATTGTCAGTGTTCTTGCTCAAATACTATGATGCTCCCGCTCAGGGATAAGCCCTCTTGCGCAAATGCTTTTGCGCAAGAGGGCCAGTGTAGACAGGTAAAAACTATTTTGCGCAAAAAAGCCCCGAAGGCGAAAGTGACGATCAGGGCTTTCTTGCGCAAAACCGTGTCTAGATTGGCACGGATGCTTTTCCACAAAAAGTGCTTTTGAGCAAAAGCATCCGTGCCAATCTAGATGCTCTTTTCCGCAAATGCTTTTAATGGAAAAGCTTTTCCATTAAAAGCATTTGCGGAAAATTGGATGGAAAGACCATGCAGCAGCAGACTGATAGAGGCTTTAATGTCTGCACTTCAGATTACATGCAGGGATGCAAATGGTATTCCTCTTTCTACTCTCACTTGCAGCACTTCATGGCTGTCGTGAAGTTTGGTTCTAGAGTTCTCTGCTATCTCGGGGTATGTCTACACTGCAAAGTTAATTCGGAATAACAGCCATTATTCCGAATTAACTTCCACAGCGTCTAGAGGCAAGCCCCACTAGTTTGAATTAAATTCGAAATAGCGGGGTGCTTAATTTGAATTTGGTAAACCTCATTCTACGAGGAGTAACACCAAACTCAAATTAGCTAATTTGAAATAAGTGCTGTGTAGACACTTATTTCGAAATAGTGGGCCTCCAGCCTTCCCAGGGTGCCCTGGTGGCCACTCTAGCCTCAAGCAAGAACACTCCTCTCCCTCCCCCTCCCTTCCCGGAGCCCTTAAGGGGTAGACAATAGCCACAGTGCCTGTGCCAATGTAACCGCCACCGGGAGGATTTGAATCTGGGACCTCAGGGTGGCCACACAGAAACCTGTTGGAGAACACGTTAATCTGCCTGGACACTCATGAATGGATCTCAAAGTCCCAGTATTGTGTCAGGACAATTCCACAAGCCAAATACACAGAGAAGGGCTGGAACTTAACTTCAGTTACATGTTTAATTCTTAAGCAAATGGTATGAACAAGAATATTGGCTGGATCACACACCCTAATGACTTAACCAAGCAACCTAACAATGGAGGTGCTAATTGTTCTTATCAGCCTCTTGTAACTACTTGAAAAATCTACTCACTGTCTCTCTCTTCTCTCTCTCTCTCTCTACTTTCACCCTCCTTTTTTCCTCTCTTTCCCCCTCCTTCTCTTCCCTTATTTATTCTTGGATCTGGACTTCTAATGCTCCTGTCATCTGAAGAAGTGGGTTGCAACCATGAAAGCTCATGATACCTTCTACCTGTTTTATTAGTCTTTAAGTTGCTACTAGACTATATGTTGTTTTTAAAGTTTTTCTCGTCTTATGTTAGTGAAGGAAAAGATAACATTTCTTTATTCTATTTTTCTGCACCATTCATGATTTTCTAGATATCTTACATATTCCTCCACTCTTTAGTCATTTCTTTTCCAAGCTGAAATGTCCCCTTCTGGTTAGTCTGATTTCTGTTGCCCTTTCTGTATCTTTTCTAAATCCAGCATATCTTTTTTTGATGGGGTGGCCAAATATGCACACACTATTCAAGATGTGGGCGTACCATGATTTTATATAGAGGCGATATGATATTTTCTGCCTTTGTATCGATTCCTTTCTAATGATTCCCAACATCCAGTTTGTTTTTAAACTGCCACTACACATTGAGCAGATGTTTTCAGGGAGCTATCTGCAAGGATTCCAAGATCTCTTTCTTGAGTGGCAGCAGCTATTTTAGACCCCCATCATTTTTTCTGTAGAGTTGGGGTTATATTTTGCCATGTCAGGGCTTGGCAATCCTGACATTAGTTGTGGCTCCAAGGTCATGGCGTTTTAATGTAATGGCCCATGTGCATTACTTTGCAATTATCAACACAGTATCCCATCTGCCCTTGTGTTGCCCAAGCACCCACTTTTGTGAGATCTGCAGGTCAGAATGGTCAGGCTGCAGGCGGCCAAGGAGGCAGAGCTAGGGGGGCAGAGGTATCCTCAGCGCTGGGTCTCTGGAATATGTGTGCAGAAAGCCACTGCATTAAAACGCTACGACCTTGGAGCCACATCTATCATCAGGATTGCCAAACCCAGATAGGCCCAAAGCGGCAGTAGCCCCTTTGCTGCAGTGTGTCCTGGACCTGCGGGTTGGCAGCTGCAGTCATGGCAGTGTTTGCATTGCCCTGCCTAGGGCCAGATGTTCTGGGAGCTTCACAGACCCCGATCTGCAGGGAGCTGGGCCCAGTTTGCTCCTACTGAGAATGTGTCAGGAGCTTGACTAGACTGGGCAAACAAGGCCTTAGCACTGATCGGACTTCCCCAGTAGCTCCCACCTTGCACCTATTTACACAAGGCCTTGCACTAGTGAACCCACATTGTGCACATTCCCCCTCCATGCAGACAGGGCCTGTCAGGGGAGCCAGTGACCCCTCACTTGGTGGCTGGAGCTGTGCCAGAGCAAGAGCTGGGCTATGCAGGGAGAGTAGAGTGGGCAGGGCTAGACAGGGGAAGACACCTCAGGTGTGTGTCCGGGGCTCTTCCCCAGCTCCTCTGTGAGGGCTGAGGCAAGGGCGGAGGTCATGGGGTGGCTGCAGCTTGGGCAGAAGTTGGAACCGAAGAAGAGGTAGATGTAGGGGTTGATGCTAGTGTTGAGGTTGATCAGGTAGCCGGTGTAGACCAGGAAGGGAATGAGGCGACTGTAGAGCTCCTGGTTCTCCAAGGCGACCAGGAAGAGCAGCTGGGTGATCTGGAACGGGAGGTTGAGCAGCACGTAGACGGTCAGGGTGGCAGCCACAATGCGGTAGAACTGGCTGGGGGCCCGGGTGTGGCGCCGCAAGGTGTGGGCCAAGGTGACAGCGTGAGTGGTCACCATGACAACAAAGGGGAAGAATCCCTCCACCAGCACCTCCAGCAAGCGCAGGGACCACTCGTACTTCCCCCGGTCGTTGTAGCAGGCGAGTACCCCGTCCTCAAACAGGATGACGTCGGGGAAGATGAAGCCTTTGATGCTGAGCAAGGAAGCCGCCACCCAGGTGCCCAGGCAGATGTAGGTGGAGAGCCGCAGGGGGCGATGGCAGCGGTACCACAGGGGCAGCAGCACCAGCAGGCAGCGGTCCACGCTGAGGGCAGCCAGCAGGAAGAGGCTGCAGTGGTAGCTTAAATCCAAGAGGAAGTGGCGCAGGCGGCACATGAAGGCACCCAGCACCCAGTTGTCACCCTGCAGGGTCTCCATGATCTGCATGACCATGACGCAGAGGAAGAGGAAGTCGGAGCTGGCCAGGCTCAGGATGAAGACGGACAGGCCCCGGCGTCGCAGCCGCCACCCTATCAGCCAGATAACGAAGCCGTTGGCCGGCAGCCCGATGAGCAGTATGATGATCAGGAAGGCTCCCCGCCATGTTGCTGACGGGTCGGGTGCTGTCCCGTTGAAGAGGGAAAGTGAGGTGTTAAGTGACTCCATTTGCCACTCTCAGCAGTTTCAGGCAAGCTGGCCTGCCAATGGAAAGGACATGGAAGAAATCAGGGGAGGGCTTCTCACCCAACATTTACTCCAGGATACAGGCCCTGCCAGCTTCTTCTCCTCCAGGGAAAGTATAGCCTCGTGGTCAGAGCATGAGGTGGTGACCTAGTTTCACCACTATTTTAGGCAAGCTTAAACTAGAGATGTAAGCAAGTGCAGCCGGTCTCCGAGTTGCGAACGGTCAAGTTATGACCGTTAGCATTTACGACCAAAGCGGTCATTAATGTGGTTCCCGAGTTACGAATGCGATCCGTGCTTATAAGCAGCGCGGTCACCGTGTAACTTAATGGGGTCCGAGTTATGAACACTTCGAGTTATGGCCAAGTGTTTGGTCCGTAACTCATTTGCTCATTTGTAAGTCGAGGAGAGGCTGTAGTCGACTAGCCAATTAACGGATACATGAATTTAGTCAACTACTCGCATCCTCTCCCCCCCCTTTGCTGCATGTGTATGAGAGGCAGCAAAGGGGCGAAGCAGGAGCTGGATTTGGGAGAAGCCAGCTTAAAAGCTGGTTCCCCCCAGTACTGTCTCTGTGGTACAGCCTGCCCCCCTGCACACTGCTGCCTCTAACACAGCGGGTGTAAGGGGAGCAGAGGAGGCTGCCATGAAGCAGCCCCTATCCACTGGGACAGCTTGCCAAAAGCTTAAACACCCCCTGACCTTAAACACGCTCAATCGAAAGAACCCAGAGAGAAACAGTTTGAGAGGGGAAACCGAATCAGGGACCAGTGGGAAATGACTTACCTGAGACCACCCCCCCATTTGGGGCTGAGATTTGAATGGAGCCCTGCTCGGCCGAGTCCCAATCCACTGGGCTACGCTGCCACCCCCACAACCCTCTGGGTATGGTACTCACAGTGAGTCAAGCAGGGGTCACCTGCTCACAGTGCTCATGTCTGCACCTGGCCAGCAGAGGTCGCCCTGTCCTAGGGAGGGTCTTAGTGCAGGCAGCAGGGACCCAGCCCTCTCAGGCTGGCTTATCTTGGCTGGGAGCCTGTTTGAAAAGGTTCCAGCTGAAGCGCAGCTGCCTGGCTCTCCAGCCACAGGGATTGCTGTGAATGCATCAGCCTCGTTTCCCCAGGACACAGAGCCCCCGGGAGCTCAGCGAGATGCCCCCCCGGACAGTCTCCTCTGGGACAAGGGCACTGGGAGTGGGTCCTGTGGAACCCCCTGATCATCTTGGTCCTTACTGTGTGCACAGCCTCCTTTGATACTCTTCTGGGTGTCCCTCCAAGCTCAGACCCACCCGTTCCTGCCCGTTCCGGAGCGGATCGAGCTGTTTCTCCCCAAGATTGTGACGGATCTGTTATGGTCAGAGCCCCTCAGGCGGGTCCTGTATGCCAGCGGTGAGCTTTTTAGCCCTCCTCTTTAGTGGGCGTGGGGTCTTTTCCCAGCCTGTGATGGGGAGAGGAGCCTAATCTGGGCTGATCCTGGCCTCCTGCCATGGCTGCTTGCCATCAGGTACGATTCCCTCTTTCTCATTCGGATCACAATGTGCTTCGTGAGCTGAGCCTGGGCAGACTGCCCCCAAACGAGTGGCTTGGAAGCACTGGGGCTGAGGAGCATGGGGAAGGGAAGAAGAGGCCACATGGGGGAAGAACCCCCAGAGTGCAGAGACAGCCTGGGGCATTTGCCATGGAGTTCTACGCAGGAAGCTCCAGGTTGGCTACCGGGGGGCAATGTTCCCTCTAATTATTTCCCTCCATGTGTGGAATACATTTTATTATGCACACTTTGGCATGTGCTGATGTGCACCACCAATAGAAACACAACACTGTGAGTGGCTCGGCTCTGCTAATCAGCTGGGTGTCACGTGTATCTCTCTTGGGTGGTCCCCCTTATGCTAAGTTACCGGGAACACTGCCAGGGGTGTCTGTGTCAGACTGGACAATCTAAACATCCCTTCTGTTCCTTTCTGTCCCTGGATGCATAAGACCATGGGGGCCGAGAGCCTGCAGTCCAGCTAGGTGTCTGCCCCCTCCTTAGCTAACTGCCACAGACACCATTTGTTGCACAGAAATACCAGTGCTAAGGTAGTGGGTGCGATCATGGCAGGCTAAAGGCTGTTGCCTAGGCTGCAGGAGTTAGATAAGTGCTGCAACCTAGTAGCTGGAGCCCTGACCACGCCTGTATGGAAGTTTGGTCCAAACAGGGATTAGTTTTTGAGTGTTTAGACTCTGGGAAATGTTTGTGAGTTTCTGCCTGCATTCATCTGGCTTGCTACGGCAGCATTCCATGCTAGAGGGAACAACGTACATTTTACTTTATACCTTTGAAAAGGCTTGGTCTGAGCTTGAGAACTCAGATCCAGAAATCCACCCCCTCCTGTCCATCCAGGACAATTAAAATGAGAAGGGCCATGACCTCACAAGAGGAAGGTTTCCTTAGTGGTGATCAGACCTGGAGAAGGCTACATGTCAGGTAGCTGGTCATGTGGGCTTGGAAGCCGAACGGAGAAAATAAAACAAAGCCACAGGAAATTTTTCCATCTTTTTGAATTCTGAAGGGCCAAGGACCTTACACTGAAGTCAATGAGCCCTTGGATCCACCCTGAAAGACACTTTGAAATGGCAGCTCACGGCAACTTGGTCACTCTTGGGATTTAGATGGTAACGGACTGGTACTTACGTGTTTTCTTTGCTTTAAAAAACAGTAAATAACTCTTCTTTCTCTCTCCTAGTTAACAAACCTTTAGTTCATTACAGGGCACTGACGCTGGTGTAAAATCTAGAGTAGCAGTTGATCCAGGGTAAGAGTCTGGACTCTTAGGACTGGGAGCAGCCTGTGACTTTTGGTGTAAGTGACCATTAGCACTAAGTCCAGTTTGTCTGGGTGGCAAGATAGAGCAGAGATTTCAAGGACCTGTCTGTGAGTCCAAGGTAAGACTGTGGTAGGGACCCAGGAGATTTTGTTTGGAACTTGGTGAGTGAAATCTAGTTACAGACCATGCTCCTGCCCCATGTTTGACAGCCTGCCCCAGCAGTCACGGTCATGGCCCAGTCCATGTGACAGGTGCAGGCTGGGCTTGCGGCTGGTGCACTGAGCTGAGACCCAGGAGATCTGGCTTCAATACCTGCCTCTTCCCCAGGCTCCCTACAGTTGCCCGTGGGAGATTAGACGTCCTTTGTCTACTTAGATCGTGAGCACTTTGGAGCCAGGAGTTTCTCTCACTCTGTGCGGCCCCGAGCACAAGGGGGTCCTGATCTGAGACGTGGCCCAGGTGAGTGGAGCTGTGCAGCCTTGTGGTCTCTTTCATTAGTTAACAGCACAGGGTGTCTTTGAGCTGTGCTCTCCCTCCTACTAGGGGGCAGCAGAGACCTGCCGGCCAGGGAGGGGTGCCCAGGGTTGGGGAACAGAGGGAGCTAGTGAGCAAGCAGTGGTGTTAGGGGAGGGAGGACAGGGGGGTGGTGGTTCCTGGGTCCTACCCCCACTCTGCTGTTAAGTGGTTGGTGCTCACTGTGCCTCAGTTTCCCTCAGTTTCCCCTCAGGGACTGCCCTGCTCCCTGTGCTGAGTGAGGTCTCCTGTGCGTGCAGGGGGAGGACTGCAGCACTGAGAGGACAAGCCCCAGTGGGGAGGGTGCCAAAGGGCGGCTCCCAGGGACGTCCCTTCTCAGAGGAAGGCTCCCTTCCTAAGCCAGAGCTTCCCCTCCTCCCCCACTTCACTCCCTCCCTCCAGCCACCGTCCCTTCCCTGAGGACGGTTGCTGGGTCCACTCTCCCCGCACCTGTTCTCAGCCCGTCCTGTTTCCCCCGCAGAGGGGGTGGGGAGGCTCTGAGGGGGAGGGCAGCTGCTGCGTCTGTTCTGCTGCTCGCAGGGCACCCGCCCTGGCACTGAGGCAGGGTTCAAGGCTACCCAGAGCCTGCGAGCCCTTCAGGCAGCACCGGAGCAGATGGGGGCACCTAGTCCCTGCTGCCTGGCACGTCAGCCTCTGTCTGGGAGCAGGGCCCTGACATGGGCTCCCAGGCACAGGGACCCCTTCCTGCCATCCCATTAGCTGTGGGGCTGTCAGGATGCAGCTGCCCACCACCCCCAGCTCAGAGAACTTTCCCCATCAGAGCCGAGCCATGGAAAGGTCGTGGGGTTCATGTTCCCCAGCACCTCCCCGATATCCACCTGCCCACCCCCCCCAGCTCAGAGAACTTTTCCCATCAGAGCCGAGCCATGGAAAGGTCGTGGGGTTCATGTTCCCCAGCACCTCCCTGATACCCTTGCAGGGGCAATCAGGAACCCAGACCTTACTGCCCCCTCCCTTGGAAAGGGAGCCAGCTCAGAAGAGAGTCTACTCAGGAGGGCGGCTCTTATCCAACCCTGCACCCATGCCGGCTGGCCATTTTTCCATCCAGACCACCTTCCAGGCCCTGTAACTGCCCCCAGGGAGCAGTTATCTGCAGTTATCTACCCCTGCGGGAACTCTCAGAACCAGAGGGGGTAGTGATGGAGAGTCTCTTCCCAGAGCCAGAGTGGGGAGGGGCGGCTCCCTCTAACTGTCCCAGCAGACGGCCACAGCCTGACGGGCACAGACGTTGGCAGGACATGCAGATCATGGCACTGAGGCTTGGGCGCTGCCCCCAACTCCCCTCTGCCCAGGCTGGCACCAAGAGCAGGGACACGGTGGCAGCAACAGGCAGAGACCCAGCAGAACTTGTCTCCTGGCTCAGGGCTGTCCCAAGACCCCGTTCTCAGGCTGGGAAAAGACATTTGCCCCTCTGATGCCGGCACAGAGCCTAAGTGCCCGCCGACGCCAAGATGCACCGTCCAGCCCGAAATGGAGCCCAGGGGCACTCGGTCACATGCTCCCTGCTGATTGCCAGCCCGTCAGCAGAGACAGCCAGCCAGGGTCTGGCGTCAGCTGATTAGTCTCCCCTCATGAAAAGCCAGTTTCAGTCAT